GGTTATGCGAATGCAGGCGACGCTCCAGTAAAGGAGGGAGACATATAATGGGCCTTGCAAAGCGGGGTCAATGTGGACCCTTTTTCCACGAAGATTTTGGTTCAGCCAAAAACTCCTCCGTAGATTTGGAACTGAATTTTCTACCCCCTTTTTTTTTACAAAATCTCTATTGTACCAAAATGCCGCACCTTCCTGGAAATAGCAGTCAAATGTACTAGTAAAGTTTAGTATTTCTCCCTCAGCATCAAATGTTTGCAGCTTCTCTTCATCGTTGGAATAACGTTTGTAATCGGCATTCATCGAACACTTGTGTTCTTCTTCGAAGTTCGCAAGCTGAAAGGAAGCATTCTTTTCTTTGGAGGTCAGTTACTTCACAGAATAATATTTTTCACAGAATATATTTTCTAAGGCTAGCCTGCATTTACTGTGACTTCTATATAGTGAGGGAACACACCTCTGCGCTCCATACTTAGCTTTAAAGCTAGAAAATTTAAGCAGCCTGTAGCAAGTACACTGAGCCTCTGGGTCTGGGCCTATAAAAATAGTAAGGGATAAAGCTTCCGCTATATACCAATACGGAGATGCGGCTTGTATTTATCTGCCATTCGAAATCGTAGTGGCCTGTTTGTATGTGGTATGGCATACAAGTACATGACTTGTGCAGGGGGGTGGTGGTCACAGGGGGGGGGGTGGTCACCCGATGTCTAAGTTGAGTGCTTTCATCCTCCCAGACAATTTTATTGCCAGTTGTCAGCTCTGGAAGGATGAAGATCTTCAATGGTAGCGTTTACATTCATGACATTTCCTTTTTTTCCCACTGCTTCTTGTGGTTGGGAGCCTATCGGGATATATTCACCTATTCGCGCGCCTGGAAAGCGGTCCTTTTGCCATCACATCACTTCCGCCCGAACAATAACGCTGAAATAAGCAGAAGGTTGAGCGAACATTTTTCCCTCCAAATAGTTTGTTCACTCACCACGGGCTTACTTCTCCATGGCTTGGACAAGAATCCTCGACCGCCTGGCGCCCATTGTCGTGGTATTGAACATACTCGATAATCTGCGCTGAAACACCCACCTAATCGAACTTCACCAGGAAACGTCAACAGGTCAGCCTGGCCATTTGCAAAGAGGTGCACATCACTGTACTCAAACTCGAACTATCTTCAAAATTTGCGGAACGATTCTCTGAGCGGACATGGAGGTTTTTCTTTACTGTTTTTCTTCTTACGGGCGCCGAAGCGTTGGCACTGTAGCGCGACTCATGGCGCTTTCCGCGCAAAATAGGTATCATATTCGTGTTCAGGGGGTCAAATAACCCTCAGAGACGGCACGTTAGCGAAATCTGAGTTTCTGACTCAGCTTCGAAAAAATTGGGGTAAGGTTAGTCATGGCTGACTGGTAGCCAACAGCGATACTGCGACTAGCATACTGGTGATGACTGGTCTTTGAGCTGAAATAACTCTTCAATCATGCCTTCTCGCAAAGAACAATACCTGGCTCGTGCCGTCTGCATCATTTTCCTGATTACCAGGAGAAAATTCCATCCCGAGACCAGTCATTGATGGTAGGGTGAGCTCCAATTTGCTGCTAATTACCCATGGAATAGCCCACATTCCCCAAGTGAGGTCGAAACATCAGATTTGGCTAGAAACTTGTCCCCAGGGGTAACTTGACCCGTTGAACATGGTATTTCTGCAGGCGAGCAGAGCTGTTGAAGCTTTGTCGGCCATGTTTCGGAAAAAGAGAATAGACGACCAGCCGGGAAAGATGTAACAGCTATGACACGTTCCCTGCGAGTTAGCATGATAAAACAACCTTGTAGGGAGAAATCCGGCATCCATACCTAGAACTCCGTGCAAGAATCGTTCCGTAATGATCGAAGGTTAGCATTTTCAGTTCACCGTCTCAAAACGCCCACAACGGTGTGCACCTCATTGGAAATGGCCAGGCTGACCTGTTGACCTTTCCTGGTCAGACGAAAAATGTCCCAGCAATTCGATAGCAGTTTTGTTCACAGTTACTTATTCGACATTTATATGTCTGAGCGTTTAGGTATTTTCATTGTCTTGTTTGGTTGGCCTCTTTTTGGTATCATTCTGGAGTTCTGGGGATTCGTTTTGCTGTTCGGGTAAGCTGATTTTGTCACATGTTCTTATTTCATATACAGTTTATTTCGAATTCCGGCGGTGCATTACGAGAACTCCTTGTGCAATAATGGACTTGACATCATCGGAACAGGATTTTCGTATATTAAATTTGGTTCACCCGCCCGATGTCCCCTCACCCTTTTCTGGCTGGGGCAAAAGTTCCTCTCCTCATTAAGGTACTTATAGTATTGCACAAGGAGTTCTTCCATAGTCCCTCCTAAGCTCAGCACCCGAAGTCTTTTAACGGTTTAATTTCAGCGGATTCCTCCCTGGTATTGTTAATCTCTTGCGAAGTATACCAGGTGTGAGCACAATCACGTATCTGCCTGGAATCAAACAGGTGAGCAGAGATGCTGACTTTCTAATATCGAGAAATGCCGTTCATTACATTTTCTCCTTTCTATCTTTAATTTATTCGTGATGGCTAGTCTCGTCACAAATCATCGATATCGGAAGGCGGAACGAGGCCAGGATGGGTGAACCGCTCTCCTCCAAGGGCAAAAGCCCATATTGCAGTGAAGGCGTGAAAGGCAGAAACCCATATTGCAGTGAGGTCATAGTCACCCCCCTACCTCCCAATTTCGTCTTTGCTATGGGGAGTTCCTTCCCTGTAGCTCACACGAAACTTCTAATCTCCCTTGCACCGAACGCCCTCAAACGTAGAAAAGTCAGAGAACTCGGACTGGAAATGACAAAATTGTTAAGAATTCAAAATATGGTATGTTCTACGTCATGAGACGCGTTCTCTTGACCTGCCGGGAGCTTTCATGGGAAGTTGAGTCATATGGATGTTGAGCGCTACTTCTCAGTCGCACCATCGCAGTACGAGTTGACTTGGGAAACGAAGTCGACGCGCGGGGCCGCTACCATATGGGATTGGGTTGAGCTTTTGTGTAGATGCTGCCTGCGTCCCCCCCCCCTTCCCTCCCCTCCCCCCATTGCAATACCTATTTCGCTGCAACCGAAAAGTAACGCTCCACACCTGGGCTATGTTCCAACACGTAACGTTTTAACGAACGTGTGTGGGGCTAGAGCCATTCGTGGTAGCAAATGTAGAACAAAGTAAGGGAAGTGAGGGAGAACCAGTGAAGAATTTTCGATTGAGGTCTAGCTTTTTTACCCGTGAAGTAACGAAAAAAAAGAGTTCGCAGACAGGAAATGATTACACATGCTACTTGTATGATGAAATCGTTCTAGAGAATTTCAATTATCTTTGCTTTTCTCTTCATTAAAATGCAGTGTGCCAAGATATGAGTGATATGGTAGGCGAAGACACTTATTAATTCCCCATCAACCACCTGGAGCTTTTCATTGTCGTGAATTTCCAGCAGTCAGTGGCCTCGTTCATAATCGATTTTTTTTCTAAAATTCTTTTTGACGTGATTTCAAATCGGAAGTGTAATTTCTAGATTGCAGATACTTGACCGACTTGCTCCCGAATCCAAATATCCTGTGTAAATGATGTAAAGTGAGTCATTCGTTTTGTCTTCACTGTTCGCTGGACCAATGTATTTGGCCTCCTTGACCCTTATGACACATTTCGCGATTGAATGTTTAGAGTGGTGGGGTTTAATGTGAACTCCTGGATGCTCTTGAGTTACTAGTGAGAACAGGACCGAAAGAAATGATGACCCCGCCCCACGTTCTTCCCTTCAGGAGGGTTTCTTTGGTTTTGCGATGGACAATCACGACGAGATCCGAAAAGATGAGGCAGGATTTGCGCGGGTGAAAGGCCATACAGCTCGATGGCGTTGACGCATGCAGTCATTTGAAGGAGTTGTATACGATGGCAAGGGGGCGGCGGCGGCTGCACCCAACGCCTTTGGGGGAAGGGCGAAAGGGGGGGGAGGCTGGTCAAAAGCCCTCTCACAGTCCTTCCGCCAGTCACGTTGACGGCAATCACCCGCTCCTAGGCCGTCGTGACCACTATCTTCAAATGGATGAGAGGCACGGAAGGAAGCCCAGTGGCGAAGCGATGGGTGGTTGATCTCGAGTGGGTGGAGACTTACGTCGCTAGTCTTTGGCAGCAGTACGACCCACGAAACTAGTACACGCTGTGCAGCTGTAGACCTGCACACTTGTCCGGGGCATCTCACCTATCGGGTACTTGCGGAATGTGTTTGGGGGTTTTTTTCCCAGTCTAACTGGAGCCTATTTATCACGTTCATTGGATTTTTTTGAAGCTGAAGGTGGAAGTTGGTGAAATGTGTGAGCTTTATTTTGGATCCGACTTTGCTGATACAAGTTTTTTCATCTAGTGCAACATTTGCTTCTGCAGGATGGCGCATTTTGTTTTGGGGAAGGGGGTACCTTGTAAACTAATGTAAACTCTTGCAAAGCTACGAGTTGTTGGGGAAGGGGCTCTAAGTTCTAAGGCTGATTTTCCTTGACCCTAAAAATTGAGAGACTTTTGTAAACTTATGCAAACTACCGTCGAGTTGCGAAATCTTATCATATTCAATCTTAAGCCTCTTGCATAAATTGGACTATTCACACTGGAACTCTTCAACCCGAGGCTCAATTCTCCGATGGCTGACAATCATTCCGACGTACATTCCGGCTCAAATGTATGTCGAATGTAAGGCTAGCACAAGAAAAAAAAACAAGAGCAAATGGTGTGAGGATAGGACCTGTACCATTTCGTAGCTTTGCAGGAGGTTACAGGTCCAAAGAAGGCCTTGACAGGAACATGTTTCCCCTTCCCCCACCCAAAGCCATACGTTGTACTTCTGCTTTCGGCTCAGCGCTATCGTAGTTGGGAGGACCACTCCACCGTCTCTTTACTATGTCCTTCCCCTTAGCCAAGGTTTCCGGCCTAGGGCGCAGGACGACCAGAGCCACTGTGGCAAAGCGGGTCTACGGACAACTCAAACTCAATATCTTTAATCGCGTTAACTTTCTGTTCTCTCTGCGCTGTCACGTCTGAATGGCATTCTTTGGCCACAGTGACCTTACATATTGAAACTTCCACGCCTAATTAAAGTCTAGTCCACCCCAGAGTCCCCTTCCCTGAAAAAGTTTATGCCTCTGACTCGCGGTTATGTTTTTCTTGCACCTTTTGATGCCTTGGCAGCCGCAATCCTTTGTTTCTCTGCGTTCTGGCCTTTCGCGTCAGGACCACCAAGAAAAGTTCTAGTTGTCACGTAACCGGGAAAGCGTGGCAGAGAAAGCATAGTTGCGACTAAGCCTAATCAGAAAACCGCTACTGCCGTGACCCAAGTCGTTGTAGAAGTCCCCTTCTTTGGGCTTGTTTGCGCAAAGGAAGCGTCTCGCGCATGCTAAGCATGTGAGTCGATGACGTAAGCGGTACAGTCCGGGAATTTAAAGGAATTCAAGCCTGGGAAATTAAACCAAGCGCGCGGAGCAGTGGCAGTTCCTTGGGCTGCGAAATCTTTCCTGTGTAAGCATAGAGGAAGGGGAAAGGACGTTGCCAAGCACCCACTTCACCCAACTACATTAGCGCCTTGGGCACTATTTACCCTTTACTGCCCCAGTCTTCCAAAAACAGGCCAGTTTTTGACCGACTTTTTCTGCGTTGGCAGAATTGGCTGAAAATTTGTTCCCTGGGGTAGTTTGACCTCCTGAACACGAATATCACATCCGCTTGGCACGAAACCTCCTGGCGCCCGCGCCACAGGCGCCGGCGCCAAAATACCTTAAATCACCAAATTCGCTGAAAACTTGTTCCCAGGGGTAGTCTGACCTCCTGAACACGAATATCACATTTGCTTAGCCCGAAACCTCCTGGCGTACCTAGGCGCTGGCGCCAAATCACTCCAGATCATCGCCGCCTGCTGGCGCTCGGAGCGCCAGAAAGTTTCAGACTAAGCGAATGTGATATTCGTATCTAGGGGGTCAAACTACCCTAGGAGACAACATTTGAGTCAAATCTGTTTACGGACAAAAAAGTCTCTGTCAAAAACGCCGGGCTCAATTCTGATGGTTCGGGCAGTAAGTGGTTTAAACATGTGCTGCGCTGTTTTAGACAACATGTATTTATTCAAGGTAATGCGTTAGTTCTGAATGACACCAATTTCATAGCGTTTTTAGAGATGGCTATTCGGTCGGTTGCAAGTGTATAAAATCAGGAGCACAAACACCTCAGCCCAGATCTTTCCCTTTCATTTCGTTATTTCCGGCGATAAGAATGAGATTTGGTTCAAATCTGATGGTATGGTGTGATTGACCTAATGGAGCGAAATCGCTTTCATTCTTTTCAGTTTCGGGTGTTTCCATAACATAATGTGCTCATCGTGCAATTGCGAGTGTGGTCAAACAACTTAATCTCGTTTAATTAGGGTTAGGCCTATCTAAGTGTCTATCTTATGTATAATAATAGCCCTTTATGTCGTCGGCATGTGTTCGGCAGCGTTCAGACTTTGCAACAACGCGCGTTACAGCGCATCCGCGCGCCATCGCGAAGTCTGAACGCTGCCTCCAGAGTTTTTCTTTTAATTTCATAGTTCTTTTTGATTTTCCTCTTTTCTTTAACAGCATTCGTTCGGTAAACTGACCGTAGTAAGTCAGTCACTTTAGTCAGTTGATTTTTGCGCTGTCGATTTCACTGATTTTATGTTCACGAACATTTCCTGTGTTGTAATAATGGGTATATGAAGTGATCATACTACGTGATGTTTAAGCCTACTCTCATCGGTTACCTGTTTGGTGCCCTTGTTTGTCATATAAATTCCTATTACTAGAAAGTGACTCTGTTCTATTTGATCTATTTATTGTATGTTACCAATAAATAATTGGTATTACCTCTTGGCTCTGAAGAATTACTGGATATAAATCGAGGAAGTCTTCCAGTCGAGCGCAAAGATTGATAAGAGGTTTGATAATCGCGACTGCATAGCTATCCGATCGCTCATCTCTAACATAGCAAGCGGGATGAGAAGTCCGGCTGATCAACGGGTCGGCCGCCATCAATCTGGCTGCCCTTTCCCAGAGAACGAACGGATCATTGTTCAATCCCGATGCTTTCTCTTCTAGTCGTGTAAGTCATTTTCATTCAAGCTCTTGAATAAGAGAAGGCTATGACGTCATAATAGCTTCATTACGCTCATGACAAACTCCGGTTCTCTTCTTCGAAAGATTTTGACGAAAAATTCCGAATGCCCTCGTCGTTAACGCGTTGCGGACCGCCGTTCTGAGAGGAGCTTGCATCATTTTCTCATTTTTTTTCTACATGGATAACCGGAAATTTCATCTCGTGTGGTATGTGTACTCTATGTCCAAAAATGAGTTTTAATAACTTTGGGACACGAAAAAACATGCCAAGT